TTAAAATTTAAACTGGTATGTTAAAAAGAAATGTATACAAAATAGATTTCCAGTTTCTGCACTGTTTTGAGGGAATATGGATATCTAACCTAGACTCCATTTTTCATTTACTATTTTGAATATTTCTAGTTACATCCTTAACAACAGAAGTTGTAAGAAACAATCATAGGATCAAAGAGATATATTCATAATTATTATAAATTATCAAATTATTACCGGGCATATCATGAGTTTCCCAGAACTCCCAAACTCTAAGCTTAAATTTTCAAAAACAACTGCCAATTCAAAACCAATATAAATCAACTACAGCTTATAAAGAGTAAGAATATCAAAGGTCTCATCATTCTATTAGCCTGGAAGTTTGTTCAACTCCTCCTCCGCAAGGGTTTAAAGAAGAAAAGTGACAAGTGTTTCTGCTAGCAATCTTTTCTGCCCTGTGTACTGCTCTGTTTGGATTTCTAAGGAGGAGACAAGGGCATCCCCAAAACACCATCAAATCAAATGTTTCAATCAACAACACAGGTCAAAGGATACCACATGTAGCTGTACCAATGACACAACTACTTACTGCAGGTTTCAGAGGAAAAAGGCACTTCTTGGACACTTTTGCATATTGTGACAAGATTGATAGTTAAGGAGAACTGCTTTTGATGTATTCAAACTCAACGTCCTCCACCTCCAGTGTTACAGCTCTTACCTTTTGCACATTCTCTCACACAGGTAGACCACAAGGTGGTACTTGATTCATTCCTGAATCAGTGTCTCAGTCTGAAGAACTGCAGCTTTTCAGTGTCTGCATGCTCCAAGGGCATTTCAGCTGCACCTACATCACTCAAATGAACTGAGCGCATACTTAACTCTTCTTTTCCACAGTTTAATTTGTCTTGGTCTTGCTAACAGGTTAGAAGACCGCAAAGTGGCACGCTAGTATGCCTAAAACTACTAGTCTCCTACATCAAACACAGAGAATTGTGTTCATACCTAAAATCTGAATGGTGGTTATTAACAGATACTGCAGCATTACATACATCTGATGATGTAGAAAGGCTTATCATCAATATGAATCATTAAAAAGGTGGAGTTGGAAAGTCCTTTTTGGTGTCCTGTATTATTCTCTGTTTGGTGTACTGTTTTCTCCATTTGGCTAAATAATCTTGTCACCAGTTCTACAAAAATTTCAGTTTTGATCTGGTCTTTTACCTCTTTTACCCCAACTTTGTTCCTTGTTGCTCTAATATACTGTATTCCTAATTACTATATTACTGACTATTACTAATTGCTATATTATATAACTGGATCTCTCTGCCTTTTTGTAGGTCATTATTTTCTCCTAATAAAACAAATACAATGAGCCTTATGATACTTTAAATGTATGTCAGCTAGTTGCCAGTCTGGTTTACCTTTGTTTCTAAAGAAAACAATCATTTTTCACTATTCTAACTCCTACATAAATCCAACCCCGTTTAGTCTGGCATTCAACACCTTTAGTTGCTCAGACCCTTTTGTAGTGGCTAATATGACCTGAGCTGATGGAATTCTCTCTTGATTCTACACTGATTTCACATTGATTGCAAACACTCCTAGGGCTCCACATACAAGAAGTATCTTCTCTTTTTTTCTCACTAGCAACAAAGCTTTTCAACTCTCCCTAGTTGATGCACTGGGAACGTTCCAGGCATGGGGGCAAGGAGAGAGGAATGGCATGGTTCCTCCCAGGCTTTATGCTTCATTTGTCAGTAGGGATTCCTGAGTCTGAGCAGTGGTGGGAATGGCTGGGAGGAGTTACTCACCAAGCATATTGATTTGTTTGCCAGAAGAGCTAATGGCAGCAGAACCAAGCAAGAAGCAAGGCAGAGAGTTTCAAAGAAGTTTTAAGAGGTGGTTTGGGAATTGACTTCAAAAGCCAGATCAACCAAATGAGTCCAGAGTGAATCTAGCACGCTGCTCACTCAGCTTCTCTGGGCGCCCATCGTGGCCCTTCCCTCTCCACATCTTGCCTAAACACTGAAGGACTGGGAAGCTTAGTTTTTATACAAAACAATGAACTAGTCCTAGAAAGATTCTTGAGGAAAATTACATAAATCAGGCTAGTGTGGCAGAGCCACAGTATGGTAAATGGCTATTTTTTCCTCTGGTGGAACACTCTTGTGCTACTGTGCTTTTTTTTGTGCATTACTAGAACTCAGGTTTTCCTGCATGTCAACTTCCAACAGCACTGCAATTCAGACTTTAGTATATCTATCTCCTATTTAGTACAATTCTACTAGTACTCAATATTCAGAGTACTTTTACCTAATCCCGAATGCCTGCGCTGTTTTTCCTCTCATTTCTCCTTAGTTGTAAATATGTTTATATGAAAATCAAACATATCGCTTGCCTTCCTTATGTCTGTGCTGAAACCGTACTTAAGCAACTTCTGCATTTAAGGAAATAACCCTTTTACACAATATATTACCTGCCAAACTCATGTATACAAAATATTATGGAAGCAAAATTCTTAGTTTTCAAAAAAATAATGAGGCATGTATATGAATAATAAAAATACAATCTGCAATTTTATCAATCATGAGGAAAAAATAACTTCTAAGAATACAGATATCTGGAAATAAACTTTTCCCACAAGCCTCTTCCTGTATGACTATGCACCATAGAAGTGCATGTACCTTCCTCTAAAGTCTCTAGTACAGACTTCCAGAGGCAGAATAAAACTAGAGAGGTATAATACAGGATGCCTATTTTAATATTTTATATAACTTCTACTGTTATAGGTTCTGCTTTCTCATCAAGGGAGGATATTTTTTCTTAACTCAAAGTAATCATGAGGGACGTCCAGTTGCTGTTGACTTCCATTTAAAGAAAGAAATAGAACAGAAATGTGAAAGAAAATTCTACGTGCTTGCTTTCCTGAATGTCGGTTCATGCCTACTTAATGACATTTTTCTCAGGCATGGCACACTTGACAGCCTGCTTGTGCCAGTTGACAGATTTAAAAAATCAAAGTCACTGTATAGTATACAGAACATGAGATTTCAGTCAGCATTTGACATATGTATTTCAGTTCATGATTCCAGAAGAATTTTTATAGAAACCAGGTATATAAATTGTACTTACTCATTTTCTGTCTCTAGATAATACAAACACTTAATTAAGGGGAATTGAAGCAGTGGTAGTAAAAAAGCAAAGACGGAACTCTCATATGGCTTACGAGAGTTATGGTTCTCATATGGCTTTAAAACTACACAATTTTAAGAATGCATTTCAAATTAATACATATATGTGAATATTCAGTGTCTAGTTCCACAAGTTCATTGATAGAAAAAAGAACTCATTTTCAAATACTGAAACTACACTTTGGCAGAAGAGTAAATTAACTGTTTATTTCTGGAGACAATTTGTTTGATGTGTGCAATAAATAAATCACCATTTTCATAAAATAATTCCATTTATAATTTTCCTTTTTAATACATTCCAATAATACTGAAGGTAAAATTTTAATAAAAATATAAAAGATGTATAGTGAGGCCCAATAATATGGTGTGGGTGAAATGGAAAAACAAGGGTAGGAAATATTTCCTTAGGTAGTTATAGTCTATCTATCTCCTTCACATGAGAGACCATTTATTCTCTTTACTCCATACCAGTCCTACTTCTGACTCAAATTTCAGTCAAGCATTGAGGGAGCAGGAAAATTAGCAGAATAAGTCTGGTTATACATACAATACATAAAGTCATATTTCTGTGGTACATACAATCATAAGACTTGCGAGAAGGTCTGCTCACAGTATTACGCTCATATCTAAAAGGTCACACCTTTCAAAGTCAACAATATAGACAACGTGAAAATAATTTTGCCAGAAGCATCAACATAAAACAAGCATCTAAACATGACAGTATACCAAGTCCCTTCTACATGTTAATAAAAATTCCTATGCCTTCTGTAGTAAAAACTACATTTGTAAAATATGCAGAGAGTCATGCAGTACATCTACAGAGTTTTTAAGTATTTTAAGCCTTTTTCACAGTTTTCATTTTGTTTTGTCAATTCTAACTATCTTCATTATTAGGGTTTTCCATTTTGTCATGGGCTTTGCTAAAGCTCTTCCTCTATTTTCCCCACACTGAAATGTATATCATAATTATATCATGTATATCAGTCTACATTATCTGCAAAACTAATAATACTTAATAAATGTGATGATTTCTTTGTCTTCAAATATTAAGTGGCTCAGTTTACAGTAACATTGCCAATCCTTGGATCAAGGAACTACATCCTGGAAATAAAAGTCTAAAACAGACTTCTCTTCCTCAGCCAGCTTTTATAGGTCAGAAGTCTCGTGTTTCCCACTTACAATCTGACCTCAATTAATGAAGCTTTTTTAGAGGACAGATTATTTTTGTATAATGGAAGTTTAAATTGAAAATATTTTGATTATTTTAATTAACACACTGTATATGACATGACCCTGTTCCAGATAGCAGGAAATTTTGGATAGTATATTTGGGGCTATACTGCTATGAAACAATTCAGATTTTTGGCAAATTGCCACAGCTGTGGAGGAAGCTTGTGTTGATGGATAAAATACTTTTCCAAAAGCTAAACTGTCATTATTAAACTAAGTAACAGGTTTCAATAGATTAAGATAACCCTGTGTTCAACTATATGAAAGCCGTGAGCAGGTTTCAATAGCTCTTATTCCATCCGTCATTCAATAAACCCCTCTTTTCCTTCTCTTTGAGCTTTTAAATCATGGCCCTATTGTTCATTCCAATGGATAATTACACTGCCACTTTTATTTGATTTAAATTATTCTTTTTAAATTTTTATAATCAAGAACACTCTGTACTAAGGGTTTTGCTGCACGTTTCCGATAATTTTATTATAGACACACAAGAAACTTTTACTGAAGAAACCAGCTCCCACTCATCTATTGCTTTCTAAAAGGATATTGGATATTTCAGTTTAGCATATTTTGTTGCTTTTCAAAACAAAACTCCCTTGCCTTAGAATGATAATCTTGTTCCAGCCTGGAATCTGATCCTGCTACCTGTTTGTACTTGCTCATTTTCATTTGGCGATTCCTCTCTTCTACATCCATTGCACCTGTTAAGTTAAAAAAAAAAAAAATAAAAATAAATACACAACAGTCCTCAATTCTAAGTTTAATGTTATGCTCATGGAAGTTCTAACAGAAAGAGATGAAAGCTTGTTTACTTAAATTACAGTGTATGAATTTAGTTTCTGAATTACAATTTTGCAGAAAACCAAAAAATTGTAAGAGGAGGAAAATAGTAGATAAGTATTTCAGCAGAATCTTAATAAGTATTGTATTATCTACACAGTTCAAATGAATCCAACTTTGTGGAAGAAATGAATGTAAATGGAACAGGATGTTTCTGCAGAATAGAATTTTACTATTTCAAAAATATTCAAAAGAAACTGAGTCTTTAGTTTAAAAAAAAGAATACAAAGACAACCTGTTTATTTTGGGTCAAGATCCTGATTCTGCATCTGTTATAGTGTGATACCAGCATTTTTATACCAAATTAGTAATCAAGTAACAACCACAGGCTGGCAGAGTTTCTGTTTACCATTTGCGTGTATTCTTAGTATGCTCAAAACAATTTAAAGATGTGTAAAGGAATGTTAAAGAGCCACCCAGTGGCATCACTGTATTACATTCTAATGACACACAACTTCAAGAATGATTTCAAGATTGACTCTTCTTGGACCAAATACATAATTATTCTCAACTGGGGATAGGGTCTTACTATATGACTCAGGCAGCAGCTGGTTTCAGCCAACTGGTGCTGTAACACCCCAATTTACTAGGTAAAATAACAAGGAAGTAAGTGCCAAAGCTGAGGTGGAAGAGTGAGAAATAGAAAAATGAAAGGAAGACAACAGCCCAAAATTAAAAAGAGATTTTCAAACAAAATATAGTTATCTATTATACACACACAGGCTTGATTCTCTTCCACTTTAACATTGTATAAATCAAGAATAATTCATTATCCACTGAATGCTAAAAAGCATTCATTTTGACTGACATTTGTCTTAAAGTTTCCATAATTTTAGAACAAAAGGATTAACATTTCAGAATCCCACTAGTCATAAATGGAAGTTTCTGTACGTTATATATATTGAACAACCTGGACTTTTATTTATGGAACTGAGATGGGAATATTAGATTCCAGTGTACTACATAAATCTGATTTAAACACTAAATCTCAGTTCTAAGTTGTAATCTAATAGTAAAGTGGGGCTTTGCACAGGGCCTCTGAGCTTTGTATTTTCTTTCGTGACAGCAGTAATCGTAGTAGCACATATTATGAGAGATACCTGCCTGCTAAATCTTGTGGCACTTTATGGGAAATCTGGAAGGAAGAGGGTGAGAGGAAGAGGGAAGGGAATAAGGCTAAACTGTACCGTTGTCTATAAACTCTCTGGCTTCTGATTTTTTTATTCAAACTCTTCATCTTTACTCCCTACAAACAACATGAATGAAAAGCCTTCATCAAAACTTTTAAGAGAAATGAAAATCAACAAAAATGAATGAAAAAGAAAAAAACAGTGTTTTATAGGGAGAAACAAAATGAAAAAGACAGCAGCAGATGAAAATTTCTGACATAAAATATAGCTAGTTTTTCCTATCACAATTTTCCTCAACCATTATAGGCTCCAAAGCAATACTTGCCAATTTATCATTAAGATGAAGTCATTTTTTTAAGGATCTAGTTTTAAAAGCTCTGAAGATATATTTTCTCTCTTGAAAACAAAAATGTTAAACTGGAAAATGGTATTTTTCCTTTTTCAGTGACAGAAGTAACACATAAGTGGTTTTGAAGTAAAACACTCTAACCTTTGCTTAAAGACAGAAATAATTTTTTGCTGAAATCATAACATTCTGCAAATCCACCTGTCATTCTTCAGTAATGTAACAAAGGAGATGTTTTTCACCAGAAGGGAAATTTTGTCAATTTTTCTTCTGAAGATTTCTTATGAAATCATCATGTATGTTATTTTTCCCCATATATTCTGCGAAATTTCAGGAAATTACAAGTGATGAAATAACACCTCTTGAACATAATTTATAAATTTCACAATTACTTGTGAAAATATTCATTCTTATCTATGATCTTTTGGCAAAGTGAAAGTTAGGTTTCAAATTGCTCATGGTCTGCAAAACCAAGCACTCTGAAATATGCAGTTAAAAGGGAAGTATAACACATAAGCCCTCAGTGTGAGTCCTCTGTAGCAAAATAAGCAAAATCAGTGGCATATTTTAGTCTCAAGAGAAAAACAAGACAGTTAAATTTAGGAAAAAAATACTCAATTCCTATAAAAGCTTATTAAAAGAAAATCTAACTTGCTATGTATTTTTGAAACTGCCTTTAACAAGTAAGTGAATTCAGTTACATGCAAGAAGAGGGAATCCTGAGGGCAATGGAAAGTTCATGGTGCAGAAGATCAGCTTGGGTTGTACTATGCGTGGAGCTGACATGCAGAAAGAGTGCGTAGGGTTACTGGCTGCCGCAGGCTAATCTCGATGTAACTAAAGCCAGATGCAGCCGTGATCTGGATGGGAGTAGGAAAGGTTGAGAGTGTGTCACGGTACTTCCCGTTCACATGGTCCAGCGTGCATGCATGTCACACTAAGTGGTGGAAATGCAGGGCTATCATCATCTCCACTTCCGCTGGCAAATCTACACTTAGCTGAAACCTATGTCTGGGGGTTTAGGAGGAGCAGAAAGGACTTCCAGAGAGTTCAGTAACTGTCCAGGTGCATCAGGAAGCTTCAGCTCCTAACATGATATTGGTAACCGAGGCTGAACGTCAGTCCTATACCAAGGACTCCACTGTAATCAGGAGACGTATAGGCAGTGTGTGCAAAGAAATCAGAACTACCCTAAATCTAACTATTAGTTATCAATAGCAGTGAAAATGTAGGAGTGTACCATTTCACAGTGGTAGCACAAGGCTACTTCTGATATACTTTCATGTACTGCCATGATGTACCAAAGTGTATGTGACCAAATTTTGGCCAGGTAAAAGTGAGTTCATTTGTACACTTCTGGCTTAACTTCCTTCCAGAATTTTGCTTCTAGACAGTAGCTGTGCCTCCAACAGAAATAACCAATGAGACCCCAAACCTCAGCCATAGGAACACAAAAAATTAAGAAAGACTGATAGAAGAGCAAAGCCTGATGTTGCTCACCAAACACAACTGGGATCATTACACTGTAGGCAACATCTTGGAGTTTTGCTTATTTTGATCAACTCTCTAATGTTAAAAATCCCATGGCCTGAAGGTTAGCTCACTGGGGTTTTCATCAGCACAGGGAAATTCATGGCTGACAGAGCCCAATGCTGATTCACTACCAGCCATTTTCCGTATTTTTAGAGGAGAGCGTGCTGAGGGAAAGCAGCACAACTGCAGTGCAAACACTGGCCTGAAATGCCAGAGCAAGGCGCCCAAGTGCTGCGCACAGCAGTTGGAGACTAATTTGTGCCAGAGCTTTAGCTAGTGACTAAAGTAAATTAAGCCTTAGGCCACATGAATTGTACTTTAACCTTTGGTTTTATCTACGGAAATGCAACCCGTAGATAAGGAAGTGTAAGTAAAACTTTAAGTACAGGATATTCTGTAACAGGAGATAAGGAAATGTCTCCAGACACAGACAAAAAGGATGCCTGGAGGCTGTGGCAGTAAATCAGAAGAGAAGATCCCGGACACTTTGAACAGGACTGGATGAGCAGAAGTGCCATCAGGAAATCAAGCGACCTATAGAGACTATAAAATCCAGTAAAGAATCGACAGGCAGGGCCCCTCTTCAGAGGCACCCAGCTCAAGTTGTAGAAGAAGGAACTCTGATTCTTTTATGAAAGTGGAAGCTAGGGATGAGCCCTGTTGAGGTAACATCTGCGTAATTCCTACCACAGTCTAGGTAGCAGCTGTATAATTCCTACAGGACTCAGGGCAGGCACTAGAATCACTGCTCCAGCTTTGAATGCAAACCATAACCATTATTTTCATGTTTTAATTTGAAATAAGATAAGATTTAGCTACTTCACCATTAAAGCTTTCCTCATAACTGAAAATTAAATGTTTTTAAGGGGCTGTAATCAGTGGTGTCATTAATATCTAACTTTTCCTGACCTCAACTGCTCATAGAGTCACATTTTTACAAGGAGATAAGCAATCATTCAATTCAGCCTGGAGCTAAAGACTGTTATTTGCTCTTCAGGTCAAATATTGGTTACTTTCTAGGGTAAGACCTTCAGCTGATAGCCTGTGGTCCACACCAGAGACAAAAGGGACAACAAAATGGCCTTAGTACCCAGCTTAGCCTAAGGCAAATCTACCTATTTAAAAAATAGAAACGAAATCAGCTAGGATCTGTGATCTTTCGTTCTTTCTTTCATTGCCTTCTCCAGTGGGAATTATTAAACTATTCTAGCTACTATAGATGCTGGCAAAGGTGATGTCTTTGGGGAAGGAGTTTGCTGTACAGTGGGGCTTCGGGGGCACAGAGAGTAAAAGGGAAATTGGGGTATAGAAGTAGAGTGGAGTTTATCTTAAAATATTAGGACAGATTTAGTTTTGGATAGGCATGGACAAGAGGCGTACAAAATTTGGGAGGCACAGCAGCTCAGGCTTGGGGGAAAACTAGTGATGAGGGGGCTACAGAAATACTGAGATTTTGGAAGTCAGAAACCTGTAATCTCTCTAGGAAAAAGACAGTGTACAGGTGAGCACACTCTCTGCCTGGAGTGGGGAGGACACAACAGAAGTCTTAAGCTGTACAAGAACCTTCTTTAGCTGATTCTAGTCTTTTTCGTGCAATTTCTCACCCTAATTTGGCTTCCTTAGAAAAACAAGGGAAATAAATACATTTGGGAAAGTGCTTTCTTAGTTTCCGTTTCCAAGTGTCTATTCTGAAATCCCAAAAATACATCAAAATTGCGATCCAACTCTATGGTACACATTTGCTTAAACATAATAGATCAAAAAACTTCAGGGAAAAAACATGAAAATATTTTGCATAAGTCACCCTACCTGTATCCCCATTCTCTGGATCTGCTTTCTTTTCTTCTATAAA